GATGATTTGTAAAGAATTCCTTTCACTAGATTGTAAATATATATACATATATATATACACATATATATACATACATACATAACACACACACACACACACACACACACACACACACACACACATATATATATATATATATATATATATATATATATATATATGGTGCGGTTCTAATGAGAACAATGCTTAATGTGAGAAATGAGAACGCATCAAAATCGTTGATCTATGGAAATTAACGATCACAACCTGTATGGTGCACTTCATCATTGTGTAGATAACCACATACTAATAAATCCGTAAATATTAAATGGCTATTAAATATGATAAACAAGGGCAATAATGTAATATTATTTTAAACCTCTTACGCATTTTCCCTAACCGACGGTTTCTTTTCTTAGTGGATTCCTACAATTATGCCACTTTGTTTGACATTTATTATCTTCATTTATATTAGTTTTATATTTAGAAAGAATATATTCAAGATACGTACGAATATATATAAAGTGTGCTATTGTAAGATTCCATTTATTTTGCTGTTGAAGTATTTTACTTTGATAATGGTGTATATTACAATTATACTTGTGCAATGTGTTGTATATCACAAGTAAGAGTTTCCAACACACAAAATCTATTATTTAATACACAAGTAAGAATCAAGTAATATCACAACAACTATGTCACACAAATTTATATACGGAGTATATAACACTTGAAGAAGTATCTCAATTACAAGAATTAGTATCTAACGCACAATAATTAAGAACTAATATCAAACACGTAAATACTTCATATAACCTAAACTATTATATAGTACACATGAAATAGTATCTAACACACAATAGATATATATGTTAGATAACTCGTATGTAGTACATAATATGGACTTATAGAATCACAAAAAGTATGTAATGCACGAGAACCGTTATCTAACACAACCCCAAATATGTAACACACACGAACATGTATCCAACACACAACCCCATTTTTGTAATGCACATGAATTAATATCTAATTCACATGTATATAACATAAAAACGAAAAATATGTGTTGAAGAATATAATTATGATATAGTGAATATTAATTGAAGAGAAATATGATTGGATAATAACATTCCCATAAGAATTAAATAAAGAGGAATAAGACATCATGTAGAAATTTCCCACTAACAAAATTTGATTTGCAACATGTGAAACTTCAGTATATGAACAAAGTATAATAAAATTTAATGAAAGTTATGCAAGTTTAAAAAGAATAAAAACGGAAAGAAGGGTCAATGCAACCGCCAACATGTGATAAGACGTAAATGTCCTTTCCTAGGCCTCATTTAGTCGCAGATGCTTATTTATTTTGGATGATTGAGATGTGTTCTCACGTTCTCACGTTAAGACACGTTCTCATTTGAACCAATATATATATATATATATATATATATATATATATATATATATATATATATATATATATATATATATATAGGGGAAAGATCAAGTACAATCTGTGCTTATTGTGCAAATGTTTGTACGATGCACCTTGACGTTATTTGCATTGCATATTGAGGTTCAAAGTGTTGCATATTATATAGTCATAAAATAGCAGTTGCACATTTACGTTCAATGAGTTGCACCCTAGAAAAGTTAGGTTTTATTACAAAAATGCCACCTTGCATTTATATCCTTTAGATCAACTCATCGGATGGCTAAGATAAGTTTGTACTTTGTAAATTAAGCATGATTTGTATTTGATTTCTATTCTATATATATATATATATATATATATATATATATATATATATATATATATATATATATATATATATATATAGGGAAGAGTTCAAATGAAAAGTGGTCTTCCCGTGCAAAGTGCAAAGTTTTCACTTTTTCATGTTTCGCTTGCACTTTTTCTTGTTTGCGTTGCACTTTTTGGCCATTTTGATTTTGGCCAAATTCGGCCAAAATGACGGTGGCAGTTTTGTAAATAAACCAATTTTTTTGAGCTCCCGCGAAAAAGTGCAACGAAAGCAAGAAAAAGTGCAAGCGAAAAATGAAAAAGTGCAAACTTTACACTTTGCACGTTAAGACCACTTTTTATTTGGACCATCCCCTATATATATATATATTAGTCGAAGTGCCTGTGCGTTGCACGGGTGTATCTAGAATAGAAGAACGACTTGTTTACATATTTTATTGTGATAGTATGTAACGTGTGATTTGTTACATAGAAAATGATAATACATTTTATTGTACCCTTGATTATATAATGGTAGTTTTTAGGAAAAAGGAAAATGTAGATGGTAAGAAATTAAGAACTGGTAAATCTTGGATTTGTATTCTAATTATGTTTCATTTTGATTAATTTTTTGGTACATTTCGCATGCATTTCACATCATTTATCATGTTTTTATGTAATGTAAATTGCAAGAAGAATTATCACCCAAAGTAATCAAAACTCTTTCGATCACTTCCAATTAGAGGAAATTGATTATATTTTAATTTATGGGAATAAATTTATATTACGTTCGATGGAATCATGTCTGTTTTTATATTTAGTCTTTTAGGTATATTTTATTTTTAGAAATAAAATCATGTCTGATTACGTTCAATTATTTCTCTCTTGCACGTTCATTCAGCCATATCTTTAGGATCAAAGCTTCACCATTTCTATCTCTTCTCCATCTCCATCTCCTCCTCAATCTCAAATTTTAATAGAATCATATTGGTGTTCTTCTACTCAAGTGTTCTTCTATTCGAATGTCCTAAATTCCGGCACGTATAAGGAGTCGCCAGAAATCAGACCATTAGTTCTCGAATGCCGGAACTATATTATGAACGCCAGAAAAACATTATTTTTTCTTTTATGAAATCCATCAATTTTGTGTTCATACAAAGTTCTTGTAAATTTAGTAACAAAAGTGTTGTATTTCTTTAGCATTTAGAATAAATTTCTTATATATTTTGCATTTGTGTTCTCATGAATTACGTATGCATGTGAATTGAGTATACTAGTATAATGCAGATGGCATAATGATAAGATGCAAAATATGAACTCCTAAAAAGCACATATGTGCAGTTAACATATGATGTAAAAGCACAATATGTGAATTGTGTTAATGAGCAGCTCTTGTAATTTTAGTATCTAAAAAATATTGTAATTTTAATGTGCAGTTTTTTTACTATTTAAAAATGTTTCTTATATATTATGTATCTTGGGACATCACGAATCACGTATACATGTCAGTTGACTATACAATGCAGATGTCATAACGATAAGATGCAACATATGAACTACTACAATGCACATGTCATCTTACTAAAATGCAGTGTATGAACTTCGACAATGCACACATCATCTTACCAAAATGCAGTGTATGAACTTCTAAAATGCACATATCATAATGATAAAATGCAACTTATGCACTCTATACTAAAATGCATATGCCATAGCACTAAGATGAAGTATGAACTTCTAAAGTGTACATATTTGAAAACGCAATATATGAACTTGTAAAATGCACATGTTATAGAGATAACATGCAACATACAAACGACTAAAATGCAATGTTGACATATTTTATCACGATGCAATTCTAATATAATTTATGGAGACATTATAAATGTACAATGCACATCACGTAACCTTAATGCACCTCCTGGAACACTAATATGCACATCAGGTAACCTTAATATGCATACACTTCTAACAATGCTCATTTCATTCAAGAGCTCTATAATACTTACCATCTTTATGTTTTGAAAAATGGTAGTTTAATTACGTAGATTCTGATTCTATAATTCCAAATATTATTTTAGTAAAAGCTTTCATAAAATATTAATTACAAAATGGTAAGTTTCTTTTACGTTTATGGTTAGCATTAATCTAGAGGTCTAGTCATTAAATTATTGCCAAAAATAACTAGAACTACCGGACACTTTTAATTTGTAAATTACTATAGTATCCCTTCTTACTAACCGTTCCATTTATAGTTGTCAATTTTGTTGTGATTCCATGTGTCGTCCACATCCCCTTATCATGCATCTCACACGGATGCCCTTTATTTAGTACAAACGGACGCACGAGATTAGTTTGTAGTTTGTATGGGAGGATTGGTTTGCATGTGATCTTGCCCCTATATATATATATATATATATATATATATATATATATATATATATATATATATATATATATATATATATATATATATATATATATATATATCATATACTTCGTATGTATGTGTGTGTATATGTGTGTGTGCGCATATATATTCTTCGTATATAATACCGCCGTCCGGCCAATCGTGTTTAATTGACTGGCTTTTGGGTGGAATTTTTTGATCAAATTCTATGAGCATGTTCTTCCTTAGGTGTAGATTATTTCTACAAAATTCTAGCTTAACATTCACTCCAGAAATCAGTCAAATGTGGAATTGAAAAACACTGCCCTATTTATCTATATAAAGAGCAATATTTTTAAATAATTTATTTAACTATTTTCTCGATTGAATTTTAACGAAAAATATAAAATTGATATAATTTCAGGACCCCAATATATTTATAAGTTCATTTTTTGAAAAAGTTTAGATGTTCATTTTTGAACAAGGGCATAGTTAGGAACTTAGGGAGGACATGTTAGACCCCAACTCACCCCAAATTTCTATTTTTTAGATTATTCGAGTAAATTAATTCATGTGAAAATATTTCCAAAAAATATTTCATAAAAATATTTCCAAATTTCTATTTATGAAAATTATTCGAGTAAATTAAAAAATATTTCCGATCCAACCCAACATACCATCTTGATTCTTGACTTACACCACCCCCATACACAAAAATTGAAACTATAATATAGTATGTGTCCAACCTTGCAAAAGATTATTATAATTATTACCTCAATGAATCTGTCCTTTTATACGATGTTTTTTCATCATTTTTATACTTGGTTTTTTATCATTTTAAATCATCTAAAATAATATTTAAATTAGTATGAATACTTAAAATCGTGAACTTAAAATGTTATTAACAATTAGCAGTATTTAAAAACATAACAATAATTACACTTATTTACAAAATAAAATCACATGGCTCCGAGAAGAGTATAAAGCGAAAAAACACATGAAGGCGACGGCTGTTATCTTTTCCGAGAGACAGGAAGAAATGGTTCACGCAACGACAAAAGGGTATAAGCTGAATCCAGTCAAAGAAATTATGAGTGCAAATTTCTAAGGGCACCCCATCACCACCTACATACAACAACACAACAGGCTACATCCCAAAAGGTCAAAGGAATATCATCATTCTCATTTGTATTCTATTCCCATACTCAACAATTGATTCTTCCCTAGGCTACTAAGTAGTAATTAATACATATGCTACCCACCACTTTTCATATCAAATTCATGTGCAAGTTGCCATCTTCCCTTCCCTATATTCACATCCTACATTAGTGGGACCCAACTGGAAGTTAACTTCTATCATACCCTGCAAAACACATTTACAACAAGCAACAACAAACTCATTATTTCTTTACTTCAAGAAAATGACTCTTTGGTTCCTAACTTATATAAGGAATTAGTGCATTTAGTCCCTAGCAATAATTATTAGTGTCACTACTTTTAGTTCTTAAACAATATTACACTGTAAGGTGGTCATTTTAGTCCCTTGTATATTACTATTTCAATTCTTGATTTTTTACTGTGTTTTATATCATGCATGTTTATGTATATATTATCATATCTTCTTGAAAACAGATTTCATTTTTCTTCGAAATACAACCCATATGATTGATTCCCATGAAATAAAATAATAAGCTACAAGGCATGAAAAGTAAAAATTTCATAGAAATTCATAGTTACTAGTAATGTTTTGTTTTATCGTTACATAGTGATTAAGTAAAAATTCAAGTTATTTGTCTAAAAAATATACTATCTTAGTCTTATTTAATCACATTTTATGATATTCTTTATTCGTGATGAAATTAATTCTCCTCAGATAATATATTTACATATATTATTCTCCTCGGATAATTCTCCTCCTCGGGTAGTGTACGTAATTATTATTTACATATTTAGAAACTATACTAAATGTTAAACAACAAATAACGTATGATGAAATTGTGGTAAACAAACTTTGAGACTAAAAGGAAGTTAAGTTGATTGCATTGTATAATACTCCCACTGTTCCAATTCGCTCGACCCAATTGATGAATTTTAGGATTTTACATAGTGAAGAAAGTGTTTGAATACGTGAAAGAAGAGACCTTATATGTGAAGAATGAAGATTTAGTTTCCACTTTCCAGTCGGAGGAATTTTTGCTTAATGGGTTGGTGTTGCTTTATTGTGTAAGCTCATACTATGTAAAATCTACTCAAAAAGGTCAGTGGGAAGTATATTGGAACGGATGAAGTATACAAAGCTTATTTTGGAACAAAGATCTCTTTTTTAGGATTTATCCTTTTTGTAGCTTCAACTTTAGAAAAAGGAAATAATTTTGATTATGAAACAAAATTTTCTTCTTATGAGTAATTAAAATCACCACTTAAAAAGCCAAAAAGGGACTACAGCTACTGTTTCCCTTTACCTAAGGGACCAAAAGTGCACTTTTTTGTTGCAGACATACTATGGTTAAAGCATTAATAATGGGTTTATCATAATTGCATTTACATACCGGCTCGGATTGAACCATTCATGTTCGAAGGGGAGACTCAGGTTCTGAACCAGAAACTGATGAAAAAGAAGCCATGTCCTCCTTTGCTATCGCCACGAAATTCAGTGGGACCGTTGAGAGCCTCCTGAAATATCTGTCCTGTCTCCCGGAATACGAGCGTGGTGTTGACATCTGGTCGGGAGTTTGATAGCCAGCAGAACTCCTCCGTGGTGATGGAGTTACTGCTGCTCCATTAATAGTAGCATGAAGTCCTCCATTTGTTGTCTTCCTATAGCTATTGCTTCTTGGGCTAGGTTTTGAACCATAGATTGCTTCCTTTTCTGTGAGCAGTAGATCAAGCACTTTCTTTTGGTCCTGCAGAGATGAGATGGTATAAGGTGAACTCTTTATTAAATTCAGGTTTAAAATGTTTTTAGTCCCTCCAAATATACAACTTTTATTTTAGCATAGGTCTCTAATTATCAAGGGCTCTATAGCGAAATTGAAGTATTTGATTAAAAGTTGAACTATAGTGAAAAAACAAGGCAGCAATCATGAGTTATGTGGTTGCCAAATGGATATGAAACAGTCGAAGAGAGAATAAGAAGCGTAATCCCAAGGACAAAAAGCAAAAAGTTAAATACGAAGTATTTAAGATCCTAAAACAAAACAAAAAAAACAAAAATAATCACAACAACAAAATACTTATCTAAGCCATGTATTTGATATATAATCCGTGAAGGCTTTTCAAGGAAATTTATCAATAAAAATGTTTTTAAAAATTGAAATACATGTTTCCTTAGTGTTATGTCTCTATCATTCTGGTGCTACATTGATAATTTTGTCATTCAAAATATTATATTCAGAATAACTTGCTTTTTTATCCTGAATCGAAAAAATCTTCAAGTGTAAGGGAAAAGGTCGAATCTGTTTGTAGTAAACTAAGTTATTTGAATAAACAGAAGTAAATATTACCCTTGCACGTCTTTTCTCCACTTCTTTCTGTTGACGGGTCATTTTATAATCTTGCAATACTGACACCAAACGTGCCTAACAAAAACAGAAGTCAAGCAGTGATCACTCCACCTGCGGTCCGAGGAAGAAAAAAAAGATGATTGAGAGATTCCAAACAGCAGGAAGCTCACCCCATCATAAAGAAAAAACTTCTTCGCATGATCTTCCCATGCATGAGTCTTGCTAATCAGACTGTCAACCATACCTGAAACATAAACATAAGCTCACCAGATCTTGAAAAACAGTTAAGAACAGCTTTAATGTATATTTTGTCGGTGCAAATAGAGCTTCATTTTGTTTTAGACCCTGTAATTTTATTATTATTGTTACTATTATATTTTTTTTTTAGTGTTGCCTGTTATTGGTGTTGCCTGTTGTTGTCAAGTGTCCCACAACGAATGTGTAATTAAATATAAGCATCAAGTACGTCTTACATCTTTGGTACATCATTCATTTGTTTAGCCCCGAAATTGTTCACACATAATTAAGGGTGGCCTATTTAGGGTAAGTTTTTGGCTCATTTGAACTTAATCGCGTGTTAAGTGCCCAACATTGGATGTTTACCAGATTTGTGGCTAATATGTAAGTATGAGAAAAACTATATGAACAGAATTGGAGAAAGTAGAATACATTTCTTATGGGGATTAAACCTAAAAAATGCTAATTGCGATGAGCAAAAAAAAAAATAGCCATGGAGAAACATCAGGGTAAATTACCTGGGATCTTATTTACAGTGATTCGAGCACGTTCAGCCCGCTTTAAGTTTATGTGAGCACCTCGTCCACCACTGTAACGGCTTTGGTCCTGATGAGATTGGCTCACAACAGAAATTAGCATATTGAAACTTTCCACCATTAATGATAAAGCAAAAAAAATAAATTGATAATAGACTACGTGTGCACAATAGTCCTACATGGTTATAGTCTTCCAGCCAGTTTTCCTCTTCACAGGCAGACAGCCACCGTTCAATCCTGTCCGTGATTTCTTTTCGGCTCAATGCTTCACCCTTAGCTTTATGAATTTGGGATTCGATGTTCGCCAATAGCTCACAAGGATCCACAAGACCTTTTGATTCAATCCATTAATGGATCATCAATCCATTAAACGTTAAGTTAATATAGGGGATTAAGGACATCTACTAACCAGAGTCGATCATTGCACATGATTTATCTCTAGCCGTGCTTGGGTCAGGCTCAATATGGCTCTTCTTGCATATATCCTCTAACTCCGATCTCTTTTTCATAACCAACTCTTTCATTCTGCTTGCCTTTAGTTCAGTCAACCTCTCGACTTCCAATGATACCTATAATTATGTATATTCAGAGAGAGAGAAGGATTTCATAGTCCTATAATTTTTGTTGAGATATACTGTAATAGTATGACAATTTTATTGTTGGAATGTCTGATGTGGTTCAGGTTCGGACCGTTCGGTCCATATATTTGTTTGGAACTCATTAAATGCTACGAAAAGAAAAGAAGGATATTAGGGGGAGTAATGAAAAATGGTCTCAAAAATGTAAAATTGGTTCAGTGAAAAAAACAGATGAGAAAATGGCATATATATCACTCATAAAAGTAACAGAAAAAATGTAACTTCTGCAATGCAGTGATCACAATGGCACTTTTATAGAGGCTGTAGTGACCATGGTGATGTTCATTTTACTATCCAGTGACTGGGGTGGCACTTACGCAATGACTGTTGTTACCATGTAGCCATATTTTTGTCCATGAGCTGTGGGGTTTAGTAATATTTTTATATGAAAACCCCTTAACCCTAGTGTTTACTTATTTATATAATACAAATACTAATAAATCTAAACATATGTAAATTCCTATTAACATATAATCTAAACACAAAATTAGGGGAACCAATAACCTTTAAAAAGTATTATAGTGAAGATGAAATTCTTTTTAACCTGTTCAATGATTTCCAATGAAAGAGCGCCGGGATGCTTGATTTCTTCGAACTCAGGAAAATCAAGAACAGAGGTAACCTTTAAAAAGTAAGCCTTCTCTTCTCTTGGTGTGTCCATTAAGTTCCAGAGCTCAAATAGTGAGCTACAAATGTCCTTCAGCTGCATTTGGAGAAAAATATAATAAATTAGAGGCTTAGAGCACATTCATAGATCTGAAAAGTAACCAGAGAAACAACTGATGGGATTATGGGTAAAATTACTCTTATACCTTCAAGAAACGCTCTTTTCTTTCTGATTTCAACCTGGTAATTGTCTTCTCTAGACCCTCTAATGTGCTATTGCTGATATTTGTGGACTGTCCCACCCTAGCATCATGTAGGCTTGGATCCACAATACTCACGGTTTCACCAAAATTTAGCCCAAGAGTAGCACACAAGGCATGGACTACATTTACAAACTCTAACACTTTCTGAATCCGCTCAGACTGCATTACACATATTTGCAACTGAAGATTAATTTCAGTGTGAATTATGCCCTTCAGGTGTAATTTTATATTTTATATGAACATGAAAAAAGTCTACAACATTTAGGATCCATTTGGAACCTGGAACATACTAGGGAAAGAAAATTAAAAGGAAATAAAGGGGAAAAAACTGAAAGAAAAGAAAGTGTTGGATATTGTAAAAGATTGCCTTAAATTACTCTACAAAATTCTTTGATTTATTCGTATTTATAATATAAACGCTAAGAAAAAAGTTGTCATATTTCATTTTCCTTTGCAATCTCTAAGGTAAAACCAAACATAAGAACATGATTTTCCTTGACATATTACTCCTTTTCGATAAAGCTATGTTTGAATTCCGTAAAATGCTAGGGAAGGAAAGGAAAGGTTTTTTGAAGAAGAAAAGAAAAGGATAAAACGTTATTTACAATGTTTGGTTTTACCTTGAGAATTGCAAAAAAAAATTTAAATATGATTAATATTTTAAATTTCATCATATATTTTTATATTTCTTAGTATTTCTGTAATAGAAAATAAAAAATGCATTTGAACAAATAATAAACATACACTATTTGAGTTTTCAAAAATTTCCTCTACATACTCTTAAACTTATGAAACAAGTTTATACAAAGAAAAACTGCATATCTTCTAAAATCCAAAAAAGTTATCATGTTGAAGCATCAGAAACTTAGCAGAGAAAGTTGACAAAGAGGTGCAAATAGTCAAGATGCATTTATAGGAACTCAGTAAAGAATTAAAGTTGATACCTTCTCCTCCTGAAGAGCATGAAGGCTGGTTTGGTGTTCAGAGAGCCTTCTCAACGACAAATCGTTTTCTTCGTCTAGAGTCAAAGAAGATTTCACCCCATTGATTACATTATGGCCATATCCTGAAATCTCACCACTTATCTTCTCAATTTGTGCCTTTATATCTGTGAATTGCTTTATCCTCTTCTCTTTCTTTACTTTCAAATCTTCAACTATCGGTGTGATTGCTGCTAGTTGCTCCTTCAGTGCCATTGCCATCTTCTTTTCTGACTGTATCTGATGTACACATACAAATATGAAAAAGAAATAGAGAAATGAAATGAAGTTACTGTTTGTTTTCAATTTTCAATAAAAAAAGTTCATAGATAGGACTAAATCATAACACATTTCTTCAAATAGAACCATGTTTATTTTTACTAAATAGGACTAACTCACTATTAAAAGAAGATTGTTTAAATACTTTTCCTTTTTAGGACTGAATGCCACACACAATACACTAATTTGTGGACAGGGCCTCCATTGTATTCCTATTTGCCATAATTATTTTAAAAAAAATTATACCGGTGAGTTGATAGTGAGTTCACCAAGAGTTGCCATTAGGGTAGCAAGTTCTGCTTCTTTGGCTGCAACGGATTGGTGAAGGCATGCTTTGGCATTGGCAGTTTCATCAACTTTTCTTCTGTATATTTCTAAGCAATCATTTTCCAGCTCCATCAACATTTGGTCTTTATCAGCCTCATTCTCACCAATTTCATCCCACAGTTGCTGCAATTAATAAAGATAAATAAATAAAATAGTAACAATATTAGTGTATGGATTTACACATGTCAACTTCACAGTCAATTAAGTCATCAATTTTAAAGAAAGTCCCACAGGCCATCCACCCCCATAGAAAACCCTAATTTTAAACTTTGCTGGTCAAACTACATAGTATTTCTTGAAAAGTTCCATATTTATATAATTGAAGAAAGAAATTTCAAGAAAATAGAAAACTTTAAGAAATCAGGTGAGGTTTATTTTTATTGTAGAAAAGTCCGGCAGATAAAAAATACAAAGGATACCCCAGAACAAAGCAAACATCCATGGAAGGAAAAAGAAACGATTTTTATTCAAGACCAAAGAAAGTATAATCAAATTATCTCAGGAAAAATCCCGTACTGAGGAGAAACTGCAGCAAGTGAAGGTTTTTTAAAAAGGGAAATAAAAAATGATTTTCAAGTACACAGAAAATCGAGAAATATTCATGCATTTCCATACTACAAAGAATGAAAAAACTCCTTTCGAAGTCGAAGAAAAAAGCTACAAAAAAATAAACTAAAGAAGCCAGAGAGAGTTGGAGAGAGAGACCTGGAGTTCTCTGAGCAGAGTAGTGCAACTACTCTCAAGGGTCAACATTTCTTCAATTATCTCACACACCAGATATACACAGTAGTGTAATAAATATGGGTGATGGGTTCCTCAAGAAAAGCTAATAATATATATCTTCTTTGAAGTTCCAAAAAGCTTGAAGTGTAAAGTGGGCTCTTTCTCTGTTAATGAAGTTTAAAGCAATGATGGTGAAAAAAGAAGCTCTGTCTTAACTTCCCCAAACTTCCAGATCTGAGAGCATAAAGACAACCCCACCACACTACACAGCCTTTGCTACTTCCATCTGTTGTTTTACAGACGAGAGAACTGCTAAATTAAGTACAACTGGGAAAGAAGAAGCCAAAGGAAAATGCAAAGATAATATTTTAGTTCTTGCACAGAGAAAAAAACAAAAAATGAAGACTACTAATGAGCGGTACACAAGGGCGGTGCTTAAGTACGCTAAAGCAGACAGATCTGCGTTTGTAGAGGTATTTTGGACGGGCTGTGGGATATTTCTAAGAGAAAAAGAGCAGAGGCAAAAGAAACAAACAAAAGTCCGTTGTGAATGACGCTTCAACAACAAGAGAGATGCTCAAACACCATAAAATGTTTGCACGGTATAATTGAACTTTGAATAATAAAAGAGAGAATAATTAAAATACTGCCCACTTTGAAGGGGTAAGATAAACGCCCGGAATTTAGAATTTTCATATGTAATTTAAATATCTCAAATTTTATATAAAATGTTATTTTAACACTATGGTTATGTATTATTTCTTTTAAAAATGTAAATTTATGGTGTTAAATGCATAATTTAAAATATCAAATTGAAAACATTAGAATTATATATAGTGGTGGGTAATACTATTTATTTTACCATGAAAGCTTAGAAATTTTAGAATGTTAATTGTATCTTTATGAATGCTAAAAATTATCAAATATGAAATAAACATCAAAATTTAATATTTTTGAAAGAAATAATATATGATCATGGTGATAAAATAACTTTTTATACGGAGTATAAAGTTTGGGGTATTTAAATTACATATGCAAGTTTGGGGTGTTTGTCTCACACCCCATCAAAGTTTGGGGTATTTTAATTATATTTCTCGTACTAAAATTGCTTGGATCATAGGCTTATAGCCGATAATTAGTGGAAAAATTTTGCTATATATAGTTCAACTTTACCCCATTTTGTACCTCATATAAAAACCTTCCAAAAAATTTACTCCCTCACTTCACCTCCCCTCCCTCACTTGCGCACAACCTTCCCCCTCATCTTCATTTCCAAATCTCCAGCCCCTCCCACCTTTTTCCTTCCCCACCAACTTTCCAAAAACTCCCACCCTTAACACTTCCCAACCCATCCGCCACAACCGCCGTCCTCACCCCCACGAAACAACCTACCGTTGTTTACCGAGAATCCCAAATTCAGGAACAAAATAGCTACTCCGTTTATCCAATGATCAGAGTGTGTCATGCGTGCCTACCTGGAAATTTTCTAATGTACAGGGTTTGTCTTCAAGAAAAGAAGCACGCAAACTAGGACTTGCATCTGTTTTGCTTCGTAAGTTACGGTGGAGCACCCTAGGTTTGCAGTTTGATTGGTCCAAGGTCTTCTTTTTTTCTTCATTTGAAGTCTGTAGATTCCATTGATTCTCTTGTAGGCACTTTTTAAGGTTCTGAATTCTGATGAGCTGGCCCTCAGATCTCTGGCGGTAGAGGTCGGCGGAAGCCCCATGGCCTTTATCAAGGAAGGGAAGAGGCAGTTCCCGTCCGACTGCACCTCCCGTCCGGCAGTGAAGATGGTCTTTGAAAGACTTGAGATGGTCTTTTTTCCTCACTTTTTGGTATTTTTTCGTCCAACTCCACATGAAAAAGGGTTGTCTGTCTGACAGACAAATTTGAAGTGCAACATCTGTCTAGCTGAGCATGGTTTCACATTAGAGACAAATCAAATGGAATGCCAGTGATGGAGTATATGGACCCCGACCCCCCGGCCTGCCGACTATTGGGCCTGGACAGCGGCCCACACACGTTTAGTGGATTCATATTGTTGTACATTATTATTTAGATGTTCTAGATTAGCTTTTCATATTATAAGTCCATTTATGTAACCGGGTCTGTCAGGCCCGTATTAGAGGCCCAGACCCGGATTTCCCTATATATACTCCTTATAGGAGGCTTGTAAAGAACACACACAAACTCACATTCATACACAATACTACTTCTTCTCCTTCTTTCCTGTTCAATCTCTCCTTTTCATACAATATGGGTATCAATTATCCAACAATGGTGCTCTCGTTGAGAGGTTTGAACACAATCAAGTGAGAAAACCTCCCCAAAAATCCAAAAATTCATCCAAAATGAAGAAATCAGTCAAGAATCATTCTGAAAATCCAAAAAAAAGGAAGAAATCTAGATTTTTTTCCGGATCTCAGGTTTTCCGGCCAGATGTGAACTGACCGGTCGCCCGGTGCAGCTCACAGTCAGCGGGAGTTCCAGATCCGACCCTAACCAGTGCGGGAGTTCCAGATCCGACCCTAACTAGTGAACAAGCGGTTGTCCCTCCCCTGGCTGTCCGCTCCTTGACTCAGCCAAAACACGATGCCAGAGGAATCTGTCAGCTGAAGCTGCCTGAGGTTACAACAGCTCGCTCCTCCACCTTGCGACTGCTAGAGCACCTCCCTACCTAGCGAAACGCGGAGCCCCCGTTCTCTGCCTGTTCCTCCACCACAGTCGCAACGCCGCCCAGCTCTCGGCTGCTCCGCCGCGGCTCCGGTCGCCATCGCAGCTCGAAGGCCGGAGCCAGGTCCACGACTGTCATCTTCATGGACACTTGCCTCGGTTGCCGGAGTTTGGGCCAAAGATCCGCCATTAGTGGCCGCTAATGCATCCGTCCCAATGATAATAGCCAATGGAGCAACAGATTATCGCCAATGGTATCGGCCGTCGCCTGTGGACGCTTGGCCAGTGCTGTCGGAGTCCTATTGAGCTCGTCCCGGTCAGTTCCGTTCTGTCGCTGGGTCCGCCGGTGTCAGTCTCAAGCTGAGGAAGCTTCGCCTCTAGCAGTCCCTGAGCGAGCTGTTCCGTCTCCATCCTTAGTCGATGCTGCGTTGTGCAACATGTTCCCTTGGATTGGCGGGCGAGATCCCTGCGCAACGTGTTCCCTGAGCGAGCTATTCCATCTCCATCCTCAGTAGCAGTCCGCTTGGTCGCGGGCGAGATCCACTTTCCGGACATGAAAGGTATCAGTGGGACATGAAAGATATTAGCTTGGTCCGCTTGGATTTTCTAACAAGAAAGCTGGCAGGAGCTCATCAGATGCTGGTCTGCCACTCTACCCAAAATAATATGGGGTTAGAAGTTTGTGATGGGCTAGGTCAAAATTAGTGGCTGAGTTGCTTGACACCCGATTTCAGTGAAGCCCATCAATTATTCCGGCCCAAATAAGAGCTAAGTGCCTAAGCAGTCCAATATATTTCAGCCCGGCCACTTCAAAAAGATAAGTATCTTTAATTGTAATATTATTTATATTTATCAATATTTTTGTCGGGTGAATGTCACACTATCACGCACTTATGATCAAATACCTAGTAGAGTGTGGCTTGAGACCCATCATTAGGATTCAAAGCCCTGACTCCTCAGGCACAAAGCCCTGTCTCCTCAGGCACAAAGCCCTGTCTCCTCAGGCACAAAGCCCTGACTCTCAGGCTCGAAGACCGGTCTTAGTCATTCCAAGAGTGGCGACCGTTGCGTACGAATGGCTCACACCTCCAATCTACTAAGTATTTTATCATTACATCAACAATTCACATTTCCACTTTTTTCAAGTGACGAACTCCCGATCGGAAACATAAACCCCAAGAAAAAAATTATATGCATGTTAAATGTGTAGGTACGAAGATGACTTTACTCATTTTTGACCTCGTCTCCACTTGCCTCAAGGAGTGGGGGACTGGGGGACTGAGAGGTCAGATTTTCTGGATGAGCAGCAAATATCACGCATGAGCAGGAACGAGAGCTAAGTCAGATGAAGACAGGCTGAACTAGACAAAAGTGATTATGCCGGAAGGGGCCTACCTTCCTTGTTTCATGTTGGGGGCGTTAGGTGTACTCTTTTTTCCTTTATTAGGATTTTTTCCCTCTGAGTTTTTTCCTAGTAAAGGTTTTTAACGATGCACCTCCCCATCATGGACAAAGGTGGTGGTCCCCCAGCCGAAGAAGAAGAAATCAAAGACAGAAGAACGTTGCAGATACAGTTTGGACTACTCCCTTTCGCCTCGAGAACTCTCGACTCAGGGAGTGGGGGACTCCTGATGGAGTATATGGACCTCGACCCCCCGGCCTGCCGACTATTGGGCCTGGACAGCGGCCCACACACGTTTAGTGGATTCATATTGTTGTACATTATTATTTAGATGTTCTAGATTAGCTTTTCATATTATAAGTCCATTTATGTAACCGGGTCTGTCAGGCCCGTATTAGAGGCCCAGACCCGGATTTCCCTATATATACTCCTTATAGGAGGCTTGTAAAGAACACACACAAACTTACATTCATACACAATACTACTTCTTCTCCTTCTTTCCTGTTCAATCTCTCCTTTTCATACAATATGGGTATCAATTATCCAACAGGATCCAAATCTTGATACCAAGATTTTCTTTTTCAATAATCTCCCCAAATAATCTCACAATGATAATCTTTCAAATAATCTTCCACATCATCCAATTTAACTTCAAATAATCTAATGGGTGGGGATGCTCTTATTGGATAAACTTTCTAAATAGGAGTAAAAAAAATTTGGAATTCCAAAGTAGGATTGACATGTTTTATTTCCTAAATAGAAGTAATTTCTACCGAGTTTGACATTACCAAGCTTTAAACATAACGATTTTTTCAAACTTGACATAAATTACTCCCATTTAGGTAATAAAAATATGAATAACCTATTTTAGAATTTCAAAAACGATTTTACTCCTATTCAGAGCAATTTGTACTTTTTATTGACTTTTTCAGTCAAGATGATAAACTTTAATCAATTTTTTTAACTAATATATTTATGTGAAACTTAATAAATTTATACTCGTATAATACGGAGTAGTATTTTTAACAAATAACATTTTCATATGATTTTCACAATATCAATATTATAGTGTATAAAATATATAATCGGTCAAAGTTTAACATCATTGTCTTCAAAAGTCAAATTTGACTAAATAAAAAGGGACGGAAGGAGTATATCATAGTACCCGTCCCACTGACTTAGATACATGAAGAATTGAAAAGCCTTAGGGGCTGATAAATGATGTGGATGAACACTCATCCAACCAATCACCCGCTCCATCCATTCACCCGCATTTATATGTTTGTTACTTTCCTTTCTTTGATGCCTTAAAAGTTTGTTATACTTTTCATTTTTAATAAGTTTTTCTTTAAAAAAAATACTCAATTACCCTTACTTTTTCTATTTTTTATCTTCTCTTTCATACTTTTCCAACATCGCTCCTACTTTTTCTAGCCGGGAAATCTAACCTCAGCCTATATCTACTGACTTTCAAGTGGTCGACATTTTCACTAAAGCCTTTGGTGCTGATCGTTTT